TTCACAAATGTATAACACATTCAGACACGTTGTTATGCCAGTGTTGGTGTCTGTGCACGGACGCCCTTTTCAGGCTGCAAAATGCTGCTGTTCATGCAGGGAATTTAAACAAGCCTTCTATTCAACGCCGAAATTCAAAATAACGCCAAAATCCAAATGGAGGCACTTCAGTTGCATAATAGTGTCTGTCACAGGGAGGCCTTGGTGCAGTAGATGATGTAATGCTCCTCAAGATAAGGCCCAAGCTGGGCTTGGGGAAAAAGGGAAGGTGGTGTCAGTGACAGAGCCATTAAAAGTATTGCTAATGGTGTCAAAGCTATCCATAGGGTGTTAATTAGCACGCCTGAATAATTCCAAAGTTGATTGTGTTACAACTGTACATGTGGAAAAACTGCTCGGTGCTACCTGTTTTCTCTGATTATAATTGCTTTTTCCCTGGGGTGAGCTTTCTTGAAGTTCAGCAGTGTGCTCAAGTTCCTGTAGCCGATCAACTGGTAATTTTGACACTTGCCATAGGAGCTAAGAGTGCCTCAGTCTGCCAAAGAGATGCTTTCTGCTGCTTGCTGAAATTCTAATGCTTCTCACCGGGGCTGTGCCTGTAGCTGTTACTGTTCCGACGCCTCCGGCAGCTTGTTACTTTATTTCCTCCTTGAGTTTGTGGTTCATCTATATTTATTTTCTTCATTTTAGGAACAGTCTGTGTCGCATCCTCACGCAAGTGCCTCCAGTCCGTTTTTGGGCTGGTGTGGTCAGAAGGGGGACACTGCCTTACCTATGGGCCTCCCCATCCCCTTTCTCCCTGCTTTTACAGTATTCACTCCAGGAAATGCTGAGAAAGTCGGGAGGAATGGAATTCATGAAATTTAAGCTGTGCTTGAATGAAAACGTGTTTTCAATTTCTGCCTCCTTGGGAGCCTGGGACTGAGCCGCAATTGCCGGCGCTGGCTGGGGGCTGGGGCCGGGGTGAATGGAAGTGCCGGAGTCAGCGCTCTGCGAGCCTCTGCCGGCATCGCTCCGCTCCCTCTCGGCATTCAAAGGCCGGGCAGCGCTTTGTGGCAGCTCCAGGAAGCGTTTTTGTACTCAGCTGTCCAAAAAACCCAAGCGTTTTCCTGCTGGGTTTGGTCTGGCTGTCGGGGTCTGAATGACAGTGACATGCTGGAGAGGAACGTGATGGGGGAAGCATCAGCTGCGGGTGGTTTATCCCCCCTCTCTGCTCTGATCCTGCTCACGGTGTCCTTTGAGTGTCCTGCAGCCGATTAAGGGTGAGAATTATAATGGTGACTCAAAAGCCTTTGGTAAAACTCATTAATTCATTCCTCCTTTAATTAGACACCCAGCCATGGGCTTATAATTATCAGAGCCCAGGAACGTTTGCAGCTGTTATAAGCTGTGCTGCATCAATTGCAGAAATCGTGGATTTTTGGCAAATGCAGATATGGTGAACTCTTCTCAGTTCTGGTTTTTGGTTAGGAACGTGCAAGGGCATAGAAATGAAAGAAGCATCTGAGTGTGTGTTGTGACTGACCTCTGGCTGAATCTTGCCTTGTGGTGTTGAACTGAGAGGAAAGGGTGGAGTTGTCCTGCTTATAAATATTTCTTTTCCTTGGGAGGTGTAATAATGTAGCTTTCAAAGAGAGAAAAGAGGAAGGAGAATCAAATGAAAATATTATCTTAATATGGAATATTGTATAAAACCTTTAGCACCCAGTGGAATTTCACTTTTGGAATAAGTGTAACAAGAACAGTTGCAGGCACTGTACACAGTGCCCATTTTGGTTTTTGGAACTTGGGGAATAGCCAGATGTTCTACAATGAAAAGTACCAGGTACTTTTTTTGAGTCTTCTGTGGGAAGAAAATCAATAGTGAACTTCTATTATTCAGTAATCTCTTCTTGTTTCTGAAATGGGAAGCAAGGTAATTTTCAGAACTAATTTGTGTGGCTGACCCTCAGCAACAGATGATTGGAGTCTTCTGAGAGAAGCTTGTGCTGCTTCTGGTACCTTTTGAAATGCTCATGGGTTTTTTCTTTTGCAGAAGAACTGGAGGGAAGGCTGAAAGGATTTGAGGGAAGGACTTATTTCTACCCTATTGCATCTCTGCTTGTCGTTCTGATCCTTGTGAATGCCATGGTAGACCCTGATAATACAATCTCCTTTTAGCATTGGACTGACAGGCTGTCAAGTGCAAGCAATCCAGAAAAAGGCACAGACCTAGGAAAAGGCCAGGGATGGAGATAGCTGGCAGCCACTGGGCTTAGACAGAGATGATTGAAGAGATAGGTTTCATTTTTAAATATTTTTTCCTTAGAATTTTTAACTTGAGTAAGATTAGAATGAGCATTTTGGACTTGAAAAGAAATGGGAGCTATTGCACAAGAGTAGATCAGAGGTACTGCTAGGCAATGGCAAGTATTAATGTTCATGTTCCCTTAAGAGGCAAGCTGTTTCAATTGGAGTAGGTGGAAGGAAAAAATGTATCAGCTGTGTTTTGGGTCTTTTTCTGTCTGGATTTAGTGGAAAGCACAGATAGTACATCCAGTGAGGATGGAATGATTTTTTTGACACTTCTGTAGCTAAACAGAAGTCTTTACTTCTGATGAGGGTGCTATTTTAAAACCACTGTACAACACTTCTTGTGTGCCTTTTTGTCTTACAGTATGTGGCTGCTGTCTTCTGTTTTTCTTTCCCATCCTCTCCCCACACAGTCTGAGTTATTGTTGGTTTATGAGACTGAGTAGTGCCTGGAACTCGGGTGGGACTGGGCTTCATCCCTGGTCTCTGACATCAAATATGCTAGATTTTCTGGCCTTTCCTTATTTCTGTATATATTTTAAGTTCCTGCAGGTTAGACAACAAAGGTTGGATCAATCTGAGTGGACAAATTAGCTGCAGCAGCAAATTTACAAGGTTAAAATTGCCTTTCAGTCTCATAAGTACAACTTGGTAAATATCCTGATGAGGTTCTTGGCTGGTCTTGCAGACCATGCTCTGGGGCAGGTTTTATACTCTAGCAGTGAACCTCTTGATCACTCCAGAGGCTGGGTTTTTCTGAGCTTTTTCAGCCTGACCTCCTGCAAACTAAAAAATCTCTTTGAACACAAGCTCTTCAGCATTTGAAACGCTCCAATATGAAATGGCAAAGTGAAGGTGATGAATATGAAATACGTCAGGTGCTGTTGACAGAATTCTCCGTGTGGACAAGCAGTGCTCTGGGAGCTGCTTCCAAGGTTTTGGAGAAGCCTTGTAAGTGATCCTGGATGCTGGGAGCGTTCTGCTGAGGTGTAAATAACAAGGTTGGACAGTTTACGCTGGCTCTGCTGTTTTTATTAGTGCAGCTTAGCTTTTGCCTCGGGTGATGTGGAGGTTATGGGAGAAGGAGGAAGGGACAAGCTGTGAGCTTGCCTCCTCTCCCAGCAGAGGATGATGAGGAGGTATGGGGATCTGGTTACCCTAATCCCCCCTTGGCATGTTAATTCTTCTTGTCTCTGTACTTATATCTTATGTCTGAAATTCTTACTGAGGCAACTGCTTGCTGGGTCACGTGTGTCTCACTGCAGTGCCCTTTCAACCTTTTTTGTGTGGATTTTCTTGCAGCTATTAGAATTCAGTTGCCTGCTATGGTATTTCATCACTGTTAATTTTTTTCTCAAGAAAATGTTGCTCTGAGATATGGCTGCTTGTCTTATTCCTGTCCTAAATACATTTGCTACCTATTTGCTAGATATGACATCTTCTGCCTGTGGTTGACCCACCTCTGAATGTTCTCTGCAGATCCAAGTTCATTTTTGTGGACAGATCTGAATCACCTTCTGCCAATGGGAGGAGATGTACCTCTTGGACCACAGCAGTGACAAATACCACTGGTGAAATGTAGTTCTGCAGGTGTAACCTATGGGCTGGACTCTCATCACTAACTTAATTATTAGGTTTGGTTTACATGTACTGGCTCCAGCAAGGATGGTCTTGGTTATGTGACGCAATAAATTAAACATGAGGTTCCTAAGAAAGAACCAGTTTCCTGGATAGGCTTTGAATGCTGATCAAGGTTCAAGTTCAAACCAGGTGTGTCTTTTTTTTTCTCTGCCAAAGTGAAATTGGTTGTTTTGTCAGCAGTAGTGACTGTTGAGCTTCCTTTCTAACATCTGTGCCTTCAGCTGGGATTCACCAGCAGTTTAGCTCTTTACTTCCTACTCACAAACACATCCATCAGCATTTCTTTGATACTAAGTTAGTCCTTACAAGGCTGCCATCCTTGAGGATGTGATCAGCTAGGCTTTTATCCTTGAGTTGTGTTCAACTAGCCTCTGACATGCTGTTGCCTTCCAACAAGTCACTGGTCACGTCTCCTGGGAAAATAGAGATCCTGAGTATTTTCTGTGTAGCTGCACTCAGACCTTGGGCAGTGCATGGTCATGGCCTTGTGCTATGAATATGGCTAACTGTAAACAGGGCTGGGAGCTTCTGGAAATTGCTGTTGTCCTCAGCTTTATTCCCAGTGAGGAATATTTTTTTCCTGGACAAAAAATACACATGTGAAACAGAACTGCAGCACTACTCTAATGCTGCAGTAAGGAAATAGCACATGGTGAAAAGTTTGATGTTAACTGCAAGTTCTATATTCTTTTTGTATTCAAAATATTAACTATACTGGGATAATAATCTTTTTCTTTTTACATTTGTGGTTTGGCTGTGAGGCTCTTTGTGTTCCAGGACAGTATTTCTGCTGATGTAGATGAGTGAGCTGATGGCTGGAGGAAGAGTTCATGTGTGTGTGCTCATATTATCAACTGAGGGAATGGTGCTGGTCACTGCATGAGGCCATCAATGCTGCACTTGGGGTGCTGGTTCTTGCATAATCCTGGCTGTGAAGACCTAAAGCGCTTCCAGTGCTGCTGAGTGGGGTCTCAGTAGGTAGGAAAGCATCTCGTGTGATTCCCAGCTGCTCGCAAGGACCAGGGTCTTTAGGCTGTTTATGTTGCACTTCTTGCTATCATGTATTTATTTCCAGGCAGATAAACCCCCAAGCTTGTGCCCCTGGTTAAAAGGCTTCCAGGAGGGGTTACACATTCCAGGCACGTCCTGGCTCAAGCTGAGTTAGTCATGCGTCTCACCAAGCGTGTCAGATCTGAGACGATCTGTCTCCCTTGCTGCTGCTCTCCAAATCCATGCACTGTAAAAGACAGTAATCAACAAAAGGGCAGTTGGAGTTGTGGAGCCTGGTTACATGATCTTGTCACTTCTTTCATCCTGATCTTCAGAGACAGTGTTTTGTGTGCAGAAGTATTATTTTCAGGGGCCTGGGAAAGTGGCTGGGACTGTACTGTTCAGCTGTAGGGCACTGGCTCGAATAAAATAGTGGCAGCCAGCGATTGAGATATTTTTCATTTTCCTTTCTTTAGGAGAAAACCCATGAAAAGTTGATGCCATGATCCTCATGATCATATTCTGTGTCTGGAAGCTACTGCTAAAGCTGCTAGTCATTACATGTAGGATTGCACTATCATGTCTTCAAATATATTCAAAAACCTGTTCATGTGCCTTCCCTTACATGCTTGCCACCTGAGGGCATAATCTAGTGACAATATAATCACTTCCATAGCAACCAGCATGCCATAAACAGGATTATGACACCTAGGCAGGATGGAGGCACAAAGAATTCAGAGAACTCCCCCCTCATTATCATGGAGCAGAGCAGGGTAAATAGTGAAAATAGTGACCTGAGTGTGGCACCCAGGGGCTGTGTCACCAGAGAACAGGGGAGGAGGAAGGACAGGGGTTCACGTGTGTGGTGTGTCCTTAAACTGATGTGACAAAACCTTGAGAAGGTGAATCTGTGTCGTTAGCAGGGCAAGGTAAAGCCTACAGAGAGCCTGTTACTGATCCCTAGGTGCAAGTGCAGCAGGCTGCATTGGCTCAGCTAATGAGATTAAACCCCTGAAGGCACCAGGGACACATTCTAGCCATCCCTTGCCTTCCTTTTTTCCCCTTCCCAGTCATGGACACTCTTATCCTTCAGTCTGTACAGGGTAAGGTTTGTCTGCTATAAAGTACTGCATTTTTTCCCACTAATGCTGTCTAAAGAGTTAAATTAAAATACTTTCTCAATACACATTCAAGCTTGCACTCTCTTTTACTATAAACATGAGCTGTTTTATTGTCAGAGATGATGGGAAGAACCAGCAAAATCAAAAGCTTCTGTCTTTAGCTCCTTCTGCAGGGAAGACAAACAGTGTCATGTAATGTTCTTCTGCAGACCCATAAAGGAACGAGAACTACTTTACTTGCACACACTTACTGCCACTGGTATTGTAGTTGGTTTTATGCTGCATAGATTTAAGTGAGAACAGTTACTGAGTGCTTTGTAGGAGTGTTTGAGCAGCTGCTCTGCTCTACTTTGTTCTGCAGTTTATGCACCACTTGCTTTTGTTCAATAAAAGGCAGCATGAAACACGGGAGTTATTGCAGATATTTGCTCTGTGGCTTCAGGGTATCTTATCATGGGGCTGGTCACAACTTCTTTCTAGTGGATTGCTCTCACTCTTTGCAGCGTTTGGGTGATGTAAGGAATGACTCGATTGCTTCAGTCAGTCAAAAGTAGTGCCTGGCTCTCTCCCAGGAGCTTTAACACCTGCTAAAAGGGTGAAGAATTCCGGGCAACTGCTGCCAGCCCTTAAGTGCTGTGGAAAGTCTTTTGTCAGAGATCCAGCTTTCTGTCCAGGTTGGGAGTCAAGATAATGCTCCCCACGAATGGAATGGGCTTGGTGAGAGCAGCTCCAACTCTCTGTTGTTGTGTGAACTACTTTTTGTAGTGATGGTGTTTTCAGAAAGCTGACCTTGTGGAAAGGGATCCTGATCACTAGTGATGATACAAAATTGCTGAGGAGGACATGACTCTCTTCTTTTTATTGTAATTTTACTGCTGGTCCTGCAATCAGTGATGTCTGACAGCCCCACCTAATTAGAGAATAGGCTCCGGTAAGAGATACTGTGAGTCCTGCACTGGGGCAAGTAGGGGTTTTTTTCCTGATTAGGATTCTCAACCAAAATATATTTGCAAATGAGGCTTTAAATATCTGTCTATACAGAATAGGAAGAAATATTTCCTGTAGGGAAGGGGAGGATCTCAAGCCTGACATATTTCAAGTGCAAGTTGAATGTATAGTGTGACCTGGCTTAAAAATAGGTATAAAACTACTCATGCAAAGTGATACACCTGGTTCCCTTTTGTGGCAACCTTTATGGGAGAGTTCATACATAGCCTGGGGTTTTTCTGCTTTACACACTCATGAATCCCACTTTGGGACAATGTTCCATCCAAACAGGCAAATTGCAGCTCTGCACATGCAACAAGGTATCTGGTGCTTTAGAAAAGCTGTTTGCAAATGCAAAGTCAGCCATGAAGGTAACTGTAGGTGTTAGTGCTGAAGGTTGCTATAAAGCCAAGGAATGTGCTTCACTGGTCAAGATAAGGTGGCTGAAAGGTCATCCAGCTGCAGCTGTGAACTGAAAGACCCTGAAATAAAAGTAAACACAGCAAGCAAGTAGCAAATAAGTAACTAAGCACCAGCTCCTGGTGTAGATGAAAATGTGTTCCAGGAACCACAGCAGTAAGAAAGGATGATATCATGTATTTCTGCATTTGTTATTCTGGAACCTCTCACTGAGAATGCTGATCTGGTACTAACAGCTGTTTTTAAGTAGCCTAATTTAATTTTTAAGTTTGTGTAAGTACTCCCTGCAGGACTGATAAATGTTCTTTGTGTTGTTGTTAGTGGAAGTTGCCAACCTCAGCGCTGTTGCAAACATACAAAAGTCATTTTAAGGCACCACAAGGTGTGTGTTGAATGATAGGCCAGAAGTCAGAGCAACCACAGGGATGGCTCATAGCAGGAATGACCTCAGCTATCAATGGCTGTGGCCTGAATGTTGTATGGGAGGTTGGATTAAATAATCCTTCCCGAGAATTTTCAGGCCAGCACTCTTTCCTGACTCCCTGTTGCTTCAAAGAGCTGCAGTAGATGAGTGCAGAGTAGGAAGTGGAGGAGGCAGCTGGCTGTTGGCCATTGGATTTCTTCTTCCTTTGCTGGATCCCTCCTCGTACTTCCAGTTTGAATGTTGTGGGCTGTGTTTCTAACCTGAGATGTGAGGCTTAAAACAGCAGACTGAAGAGTCTGTGCTCCTGGGTTTTCATTCTGAAAGGCGCTGTAACCCCAAATCTGCCAGTCAGAAGTTGTGAACATATAAAGGAAAGAAAAAGGGCCTGGTTTGTGGGTTAGAAGTGCAATTCCATCCCTTCTAAGGCCAAGTGAGGACCTGGTGAGCAGGAGCACTGGACCTGTTCTTCAGCAGTGCTGGTGAATCCTCCCCTGGTGGCTGTGCTGTTGTGGCTGAAGGAGCTTTTCCCTTGAAAGGGAACTTTCCCTTGAGATTTGTTGACTGGTTGTGCAACACCTTGGGCTTGGCCTGTCGAGCTCTTCTGCTGTAGCACTTCTGTCCTGTGATTCTTCATGGATGGAAAGCATTGGTTATTAATCCAAATGTAGCAGAAATATACAGTAGATGCAATAATCTCAGCATACCTAGGTAGAGACAAGACAAAAAGGAGTTGGTGGGAAGAATAGCTCAGGGTTACACTTTGAGGGGGGAGCGATCAGCCAGTTTGGGATATGAAAGAAAACCTACTTCCTCCTTCTGCTTTATAGTTTTGGCCTCAGTGAGTAGTGTTGTGGGTTTTCTGAAGGAAGGTTTCAGTGTGTTTAAGGTTTTCAGGCTCAAAGGGCCAGGAGTGCTGACTGGGGAGGCTGTCTGTAGGTGGGAGGATGTGATGCTTTCGGAATGCAGAGCTGCAGTTGTGAGATGAATTGTCTTTAAGGGGTGAAGAAGTGGGGGAAGTCTCCATTATCAACAGCAACTGTCCAAAATGGCTTAAATTTCCTATGAAATACACAGTGAAAAGTTGCAAAGGATAAGTTTATCACAAGTAGAGGAATCAAACTGCAGTCAGTGCTTTCTATAAAAGGCACAACTTTTGCTTTTAGCTTGTGGGGCTCCCTTTTTTCCTAGACCGAAGTTGGTATTTAGTGTACCTCATGGCATTGTGTAAGCTGTGCATGGAATGGTCCTCAGAGAGCAGCTGGAGGCATGTCAGGATGAAGGCTTTCCCCTCTGGTGATGAGGGTGACAGGAGCAGGGAGCTGCTGGCTGTGCTAACTCTGGTACTGCGGGCCAGACTGGAGCAGCAACCCCAAGCAAGGAAATCTGCTCAGGAGACAGAACTAGCCAGAAACCTTTTATTTGATTCCCGATTTCTGCTTCTTGACTGAGCACTCCAAGATATTCCAAAAGGGAGATTGAACACAAAGCCTGCCATGTCCCACACTTTTCCACCCAACTCTTAGTGCTGGAGCTCTAGGAAGGCACAGGGACTTTGTGTGAAAAATGGCTCAGTGCAGAGGGCTGGGCTGCACTTATTGACAAGGTGTGGCTAAAGCTTCCACAGGGCATGTGGACTTGGCATTTCTGCCTCTCAAACTGATCCAAGCAGTGTTCTGCTGGGAGGTAGAAGCTTTGCAGTAATTTCTTCCCCAGATGTAGCTGCTGTGAAAACAAATGTTGAAGGACTATTTTCTCACAATAGTCCTCTATTGAGGGCGCTTCAGCGTTCACCAGTTACTGGATTAGCATAACAAGGGTGGTTTGAAGCAATGCTGATAAGAGCAGAGTGTTTCCTGCTAGAATTATGATCGAGCAACTTATAATTCTGCTGTCTTGCACTTTTTTTCAGTCCTGGACTTAAAAGGAAAGCTTTGTCTGCCTGAAGTGTCACCACTTCCTCTTCTGCATCTCTCCAGTGCAGAAGGGTTTGGTGCTGTCCAAGCCTGCAGTGCACAGGCTGGAGCTGGTGCTAGAAGAGGTCACTCTTCTGGGAACTGTGGAGCATTGCAAAAATATTTCCTCCCTTGTGCGGTGTTTGGAAAGATGTTTTTTCTAATAACCCAGATAAACTGCATGTTCTCAAGTCCTGTGTGGTTTGAGTGTTTTGTTGTTGCTGGTGGCTTTTTATTTAGATTATTTTTGCAGCATGCAGGTGCTTAGATATACTCAAAGAGCCCAGGAGAAAACTTAAGTGTTGTCACTTTCCTTACAAGTTACATGAGAGTTTTGAAGTTGTTTTTAAAACCCCCAAACAATCTAACCCAAACATCTTTATGTTGTAGAAATCCATGCAAACAAATTGACTTTAGGTTTGTCTGTGTGTACAGTGAAACCCCAGGAATCCCATAGTTGTATGGAGCCCAAACTTTGCTGCAAGATTTGTGCTTGTGATCTGAATCTGTGGAAAATGTGTCTGTTTCTCTACAGATTTACAGATCTCTTTTTTAAACATTATGAGGAGGGAGATTCTGACCAGTCTCTGTAACTGTGTACTCAAAGTCTCCTTTACTTTTTAATGACATTAAATTTTTCGGTCCTGATTTCCCATGGAATGGCACTGCTGTATCAGTGCTGCAGTGCCAAGACCTGTGTGTGTTGGTGAAACTGCATCCAGCACCCATTTGGAATAAATACATTTTTATTGCTTGTTGAACAAGATACAGAGATGGATAGTACTGTAATCTAACATACTCAGCACGATTTAAAATTAGATTTGGCTGTGAACCTGGATGTTTGTCTATGATAGGCACCTACAGACAGGACCTCAGCAGAGAAACAGTGCAAAATTGTGGTTTCTACACTGAGCCTTTTTTTTGTGTAAATGGCACCTAAATCTGAGGTCCTGCATGGGGAATTCTAACACTGATGTGACCCTCCCATCCCTAATAAAATTTGTAGCTTTAGACATTTTAATCACACCTGTGTGAAGTGGAAATTTGTGGTTCCTGAGGTCATGGTCCAGGAGGGTGGCTGGAATATTTTGCACCCTGGAGCTGCTCAGTGATTAAATCAAGGGACTGACCAGGCTGGAAACAGGTTTTCACAGCAGCTCAGAGGTAGGTCTGGTTCCAGTTATAGTGTAACCAGGCCTGGTATGCACAGGAGCAGCCCTGCTCTAGGCCAGGGTGTTTGAGCAGCTGCCCAGTGAACCAGACTGAACATCTGATCCAGGCATGAAACACTGGATATTCATGGCTGATGAATTGTTATAACCCTGGCTTGGCATAAACCTGGCATGGAAACAAAGTCCCTGTGCCTTCCTGGTGCTCCAGCACTAAGAGTTGGGTGGAAAAGTGTAGGACATGGCAGACTTTGTTGAATCTCCCTTTTGGAATATCTTGGAGTGCTCAAGCAAGAAGCAGAAATCAGGGACCAAATAAAAGGTTGCTGGCTTAATTCTGTCTTCATGTGACTCTATAGGCTTTCCTAAATTATAGCTTTTTTTTTTAATCATCATGGAAAAAACACGCTTCTGGTTTTGGCTAATAGATGAGCTGTTTCCTGTCCTTTATGGCTTCTTTCTGGTTTGGAGTTTGAAACAATGCTGTGAGCAAATGGAACAACCCACTGGACTGCTGGTGAAAGGGTCTGTAATAGCATTTTATTTCTGGTTCATTTGTGACCTGCAGAATTGCAGCTGAGCAGGGAATATTCCTCTTAAAGTGCTAACATCTACCCATCCTTTTCAGAGCTGATTCCTTCTGTGCTTCCCTCTGCCCTTAAGGCCCCACTCTCCATCACTTTAACAGTCTTGAGCAGTTCTTGTTGCCACACGATCAATCTTCCCCTTCCACAGCAGCAGGTTATCTGTGATGTGATGCTCTGCTTGGTGGTGTATGTGCATCTGCTCCTCACCAATGTGCCTGAAAGCTCTGGATGTGGCCAGTGAAATGGGATGTGGCAGGGTCTGAGTGGGGGTGACATCTCACTCCGCAGCTGGAGGAGCAGTGGCACAGATGACTCCACCAGAGCCTGGGGCTCAGCTGGGCTCTGTCACGTAGCTCCAGTCCCCACCTTCCCTGCAAGCTCCCCTCTTGCAAGCCCATCTGCATTTTGAAGTCCTCTTCAGAGTTGTACCTCTTTAGAGGAGTGATGAGAAAGCGAAATACAGGGCTGTGCAATTCAGTTCAGGCCCATCCATTTGTCAGGGAAATGGTTTTCCAGGGCTGCATTCTTATAGGAAGTGTCAGGCCTGATAAATAGGCTCGAGCTTGCTTACTTCCTCATTTTCCCTAGAGCTTAGTTTCTAGAAAGAGATAGTGTTATGTAAAATACAGGAGATAGTCACCAGGGACCAACCTGGATTGGAGACAAGGCAGAAATATTTTAATTTTGAAGCTGGCTGGATAAACAGTTAAATGAACAAACACTTTCTTTTATTTTATAGAGATTTTACTGTAAAAAAAAACAGAAAGGAAGGGAAGCAAGATGGACACATTGAAGTATCTGGGAGGGAACATCCTTTCAGATGTTTGGTGCATTGGAGATAAAGGCAACCTCCCTTTAATCAGTGGCCTTTTTTCCTAGTGCTTTTTTAATGCAGTGCAGCCAGTGAGTCTGGGTTTCTGAGTTTCTTATTTCTGGGCACTGGCTGAAATAGCTCTTCCTGCTGGAATCAAAATCGGAAATGACCTGAGCTGCACATGCTGAACAAGAGGAAGAAGGGGAGTGGCTTGCTAGCTGGAAACTTGGTAGTTCTGTTTATCTGTTCAGTAGCTGAGAAATAATTACTTTTCAAGTGTTCAGAAGTTGGCTAGTGGGGCCATTCATTGTTTTGTTATCCACAAACGTATGATGACGGGGAAAAAAGGCTGTTCTCCTCTTAAGATTTTAGTTATAATAAAGTTTGTGACTAATATTGTTATGAAAGCATTTTTTTCATCAACGCCACTTTCATAGAGAGAGTTGTCTTGAATCTGCATCAGATCTGTTAGTCTGAATAAGGATTCTTACATGCTTGGTGAACAGAAGGAAAGCAGTCAGGTAACAGCCACATGTGGGATGTGGCTGGACATGCTTTAACCCTGGTCACTGCTTTGCAGTGTCACACTGTCATGTAAGGTATTTAAGTGTTATCCAGTGATTCCCAGGCCCCATAGATGGAATTTAAAGTTAACTTTAGAACTAAGAACCACTTGAATCCTTTTTCCTTACTATATCAGCATGTATTCAAAAGAGTTAAGAGTTTTATTTCCAAGTTATGTTCATGTTTCATGAATCTTTTCATCTGGATCGATTAATTATAAAAAGGCTTCTTCTCTCATTTAATTTTTGTGGGAGTAAATTTTTCCTAGTGCCCGTTTGCTTGGGAGTAGCCAAAGGATTTGAATCTTGGCTATGGCTTAAATTTTGTTTTTTCAGTTGAGGGGAAAAGGAAAAGGGTGTCTCCAGAGGGCAGAACAAAGTGACCAGCATGTCTTAAGTGTGAATGATGAGGTCTTCCTTAATGCTTTGCCCTGGCAGTCTGGGTGCTTTTATATCTGCTTTGGAATGGTGAGTATCTCCAGACTAGCAGTTGTTCTCAAGGATGGTGATGTTTTCCAGAGGGACAAACTTCAGTTGAAGAACAATTATAATAAAGAAGGTTTGTGAATAGCTGTTCTTTCCTGACCTGAGAGAGCCACTTTTGTGCCTGGAGAAATCACTGAGGGTTTGAGCAAAAAAGACCGAAGACTAAACCCAACTTGTCTAGAGATCTAATGTTCCACTAGAGTGAGTATTAAAAATAGTTTGGGGAGCTAAAATGATCTTTGGTGCCTACAGCAATGAACTACATGAAATAATCCTGCTCAAGTCCTGGGACTTCAGAGGCTTACTTTGAGCTGACCTCCTGTTAAAGGACTTGAAACGACAGCCCTTGCAATTCAGCTTGTCCAACTTGATTAGATTTTATCTGGAGCTTGATTGAATTTGTGAACAAGATTATGAAAAGCAACATGACTGCCAATGAGGTGAACAGTCTTTGAGGGGAAATTCTCTGGTATCCCAGAGGGTAGTGCTTTTAAGTTCAGTTATGAATATTAGAATTCCTTGATTAAGTTAGTTGCAAATTTTAATAAGGCGTTCTTGCCGCTGTGGATCATTTTAACACAAAGCTTAACACAAAGCTTGTGTGGTGTTTGCTTCCTGGAAGGGGAAGGGTCTTCTCCCCATCTTAGCTGTTCTCAAACTGGTCTTGGAGACCCTGGGATCTTATTATTTTAGGGAAAAGCTTTGATCATCAAGCACAGCAGCAGAAATAGCCTTGATTGTTAGTGTGGAGCTATGTCTGCTGTGCTTCGCTGCTCTGGCAGGTCAGATGGGAGATGATGACCTCTGGGTAGTTCACCTAAACAACACATCTTGGTATTTATGTTGTGGATATCAAAGTCAGTCTCACTGGAGAACACGGGGATTTAGAGCCTTTTTTTTTTTTTTTGTAAAAGGAGAAGAAAATAGAGGGAAACCTGGCTATCTTCCCTCTGTGGATGGGGGAAATGACAGGTTTTGGAAGCTGCTCTTCTATTACTGTTTCCTTTTCCTGGCTGTGGTTGTAAGTGTGGCATTGTCTCCAGCTCAGAGGCCACACCAGTGATGTGATGAGTGATTGCTTGAGCCCAGGGAGAGCCACACTACCCATCACAGTCTCAATTGTCACAACTTTTCATGGTGGCGTTCTTGTTTTAATTCTGTAGCTAAATGTTCAGCTGTGGTGTTGGAGAAGAGAAAAAAAAAAAAAAAGTCTGACACCTTTGTATGTAGCAGCAGCTGTTAATGAGGAAAATGGTGCTTTGTCAAAACTGGAGAGAACTCACTTATTAAAACTATGCTCTTTACCTCTTTTTTTCTTGTTGAAGTAAAAGGAAGTTGAGTCAGAAATAACAGTAATTTATAAGCTTGAGAACTGTGCCCATATAAATGATTACAGACCTTTTTGGCTACTGCTAAGTAATAAAGAAATCTAATATTTAGCTGTCTGCTTGTCAAATGTCTTTGCAATTAGTTTTGCTCAAAGCAACCAATAGCGATGTGACAGATTTTCTAACAAATTTGTACTTAGTCCCTAAAAACTTTAAAATTGTTTTAGTACTTAGTAGGGTGGCAGGATCTACTCCTCTCGGACAAGAAAGTGTATGAAGGTGCTGTATTTCTTGGAGCTTTTCCCTGTTTGAGACAATCATAGCAGCAATGGGTGTGTGTATGTTTGCATGCAGGAAACCTGTGGGTTCTGTCTTTAAGATATTAAATCTGCTCTTTGTTCTATCCCTGACAGAGTGTGGATTGCTTCAGGGCCTCCTGTTTCAGTGCAGAGTTGGGTGTTCAGGAGCCAGACTTATCTCTCTGACTTCATGCTAGTGCTTCTCATCTGCCTTGGTGCTGTTTGATCAGCTGAGGGGCAGGCAATTTAGGGCAGGCAGTGACACAAAACACAGTTGTTTCTGCAGTGGTTTATAAATAGTTGGAAGCAGGTAGGTGCTCCTGGCTGCACAAACAACTGCTGTAAGTACAGTTGTGTAATGGCAAAAAGGGAGAGGTGCTGCTGCTTTCCCCTCCCCAAGGCACTGAGTGAGCCCTGTGGGACTTCACTGCCTGGGGAGATGCACCTGATCAATATTTCTGCTCAGGAGATGAGCTGCTCCTGCACAGACTGGGAAATAGGGCAGAGGAGTTAATTCTTTTCTTAGCTCTAAATGCTCCTGGAAGATAATGTCTTGAGTTCTCCCCATCCACACCCCAAGACATTTCTTGTGCTAGAGCCTGCAAATCATTGCATTCAAGTTCTCTGTCTTAGATTCATTTTTGCTTGCACCTGCTGGGGATTTGGTTTAGGTTGTTGTGCAAGAGGGAAGCTGTAACAAGCTCTTCTGCTGTGACTGTGCTGCTCAGGCACTAGAACTAGCTTTGCTCCTCCACATCCCTAGCAGGCTTCCTGACCTGCTCTGTGGCTGTGCTGGTGGTGAGCCCAACAGCTGGATCAGCTGCTTTCCCATATGGTGCTGGTTTCTGTGCTCTCTCCTGCTTGTTCTTTGAGAAGTCTCATCTTCTGTTATAAACTTTGGTGTGGTCTGGAACCCTGGGATTGGAAGCTGGGGCTGGGTAGCTTTCTCTATAGAGACCACTTCCTCCCTCACTTTCCTAAATTAATGGAGTGAAACACCTACAGAAGCAGCACTTGTGCTGTGTAGTGCTGCCTTTGAGGAGCATTAATCTCTTTTGGGTGTCAGCACTTCTCTAAGCTGTGTCAGGCACAAGCACAGCTGCACATCTTACCTCTTCCCCTGCACACCCTCCTTATTTCTGCAGCACTGCCTTCCTGCTTCTGGAGAAAAACCTGAGCTGTGGACGAAGATAAAACAGTGATTTTCCTATATTCTTGTGACAGCGTGGTGTGGCTGCTCATTTGTTTAACCAAGGCCCTGTCTCCTCTGGCTGTCTCCCTGCCTGACCCCGGTTTGGGACAGGGATCGATACCAGGGTGAGCCGGGCAGGATGAGCCGGGCGGGCTCTGGGATGGGAGCAGGGGTTGAGCTGGGGGCTCTCCTGCGAGCTGCCAGCCTCCCACCTCTGGGCTCGTTGCTGTGCAGCTCTGCAAGGCAGCAGCCCAAGGGATGCAGGAGCATCCCTGCAGTTGGGCTCCCAAATAACTCCCGAGGTGCCTTGTTTTCGGTCTGAAGCATGTAACTTCTCTAGTGCTGCTTTTTCCCTTTCCCTTTCCTCTTCTCTCCCCTCAGCTGTCTCATGGTATTGTTTTAAGCAGTTGCATGCACGCTGTTGAGTCTCTCAGATTCTGATGGTGCTTGCTGTGTTTCTCACACCCAGTGTGGGGCAAATCTGTCACCTCTTGGTGCTCGGTGACCCTGTCAGGTGGGGTGGGATGTGCAGCTGGAGGCAAACCTGCTCTGAAGGCTTGTGCTTTGCCCAGCCTCTGTAAGCAAGCTGATAGAAGCCCTAAAATGGGGTCATCAGCCATTTCACATGCATGGACTGTTCCAGTTGTGTGCCAGCATAAATGCTGTGCTGCTGCCTCATTCCTTGGGGCCCTGGGGCAGGAGAGGTGCTGATGAGCTGGGCATGTGTAGGGAAAGGCCACTTGATGGTCAGAGGCTGACCTGTGAAGGGAGGCTGGGACATTTGGGACCCTTCAGCCCGGAGAGGAGAAGGAGAAATGACAGAACTGTGAGCAGCCTTTGCATAGCTGAAGGAGGGACTTTGAGAAGATGGTTCCAGGCTCTTCTCAGAGGTGCCCAGCAAAAGGACAAGTGACAACAACCTCAAGCTGAAATGGGAAATGGAACATAGGTGCTGTCACTTATGAGCATTTTTCTTTGGAGTGCTGGAGCAGGGTGAGGGAAGCTGTGGGAACTCAAGCATTAGACACACTCAAAACTTACCCAGGCAAAACTCTGAGCAGCCCCATCTATTAAATTAGCCCTGCTTTAAGCAGCAGGTTGCACTACAGTGACCTCCAGAGGTCTTTTCCAGCCTATTGTTTTCTACTATTGTATGGAATGTGTGGAATTGAGGTTTGTGTCCGAAATCTCGGCACCGTGTTGTCACAGCAGCAGTGACTTGTTGACGCAGTGGAGTGAATGCTGTAAAGCTGAAGCTTTAAATGTGGGCATTTAACATTTATGGGAATTAACCTTTCAGCACTCTGTGGTGCCTATTTTTGAGTCACTGGGAAAGGAGATGAAATAACCATGAATGCTGCTTTCCCCCTTCTCTGTGGGGTGCTGAGTTAAGGCTGAATGGTGTTTTGTTTTCCCAGGTACCCCCTCCTGCCCTGTTAGTGTGATCTCTGTTTTAAAAGTAAGCTTCACATTGATGTATTGTCCATGCAGTCCTTTCAGAAGAGTCAAGGCTAACATTAAAGACCCAGTCATTCTTATTTTTTCCCTTTAATAAGGTCCAGTGGTGTGCAAGTGGGTTACAATCTGACTGTAATGAGAAGCTAATCACCAGCCTTCTTCACCCTCTGGGATCCCAGGAGGTTACTGGAACAGCACACTGCCCCAGTTTCTCTTCCTCATGTGTGTGATGATTGCATTTTATAGTTTTGTCTGGTGTTTTAAGCATGGCTCTTGATAAGCCAGTTTGATAGCTGGCTGCTATGTCTAGGACCAGCATTTGACAGATGACTTCAGAGGGGGAAAGCAACTTAAGTAGCTTAATAGGATTTAGCTCTGTCTACACTGTCCTGCCAGAGCACGTTATAAACCACTTTAGTGGGATTCTTGCTGTAAATATAGCCATGACATAAGTGCAGGCAGAACCTCTAAGAGAACTCTGGGAACTTTCCTGAAAAATCAATCTCTGTGGTTCGGAAGAATTGCTGAATGAATGAGTGTCTGTGCAGGAACTCGAGGAATCCCACCAGCACTGAACTCATGAGCAGGATAAAAGGATCTCTGAAGGCAGGCTGTGTGTGTATTAAATTACCTATAAAATGCATTGATTTCTAGTGAATATGATGTATGTCATGGGAAAGCAAAGCAACTAATGAAAAATCCTATTAGGGCACAGTGAGGCAAACACCTCCTCCTTTTAACTGATGTAACCTCTATTACAGCCAAATAGCCCTGTCTCCTACGTATTCCCAAACTTGGTGGTAAAGGAGGCTAAAAGTGAGGTGTGTTTGTCTTTAAATAGTTGATACAAACCAAGTACTTTAAATTTCTTTTAGGCCAGTGGTCCATGACAGCTTTCAGCTTTGCAGGCAAACCCTAAGAGAGTTAAACAGCTTTGAAATAGCTGAAAGGAGACAGATTGCCCTCTTCCCCCAACTCCGTGGGGAAATGAAGAGACTGCAAGCAGAGCTGCTCAGAAGCAGAGCCACAGGGTGAGACTGATGCCCTCTGTGGATTTGTGTTGGGGCGTCAGACTTGCCTTGTAATTGTGAGGGTTTTAATCTATAAGAGCATCTGCTGTTAGCTGTACCCTGTTCACTCAGGAGGTGAATTTAAAAAGTGTGTGCTCCTCTTTCATCAGGATGATGCTGGGAGCAGAAGCAGTGACCACTCACCAGAATGCTGCTCTTGAGGGGGAGCTTGACTCTGGATGCTGAGAGGAGCATCCGCAGCTCTGCACTGCTGGTGGGAAGAGCTGCAAAGGAAACTCCCTGTTCAGATTGCATTTCCCTTCAGGGCAGCAGCCTGAGGAGGCCCTAATCCCTTCTCACATTTGGCCAGGAGCCTGCAGGAGGCCTTTCTTAGCTCCCTTGCCTCCCCTGCACAGGCTGAGGAGAAGTGGTTAATGACGCTCCCAGTGTTGTCAGTGGTGCAGAACACGGACTCCAGCTGTGACTGTGGTGGGTCTTGGCTAGCTTGGATGGTTTTTCTTAATCTGCTTCCTCTCTTAGTCCCTCTATGGTATTTTTTTTTCATGGGTTTGAAGGTTCTCAATAGTGAGTATTGGTAGTTTTTGTCCCTGAGGGTTTTTTTTTGAGAGCTTTTTTGTTTTCTTTAAAGAAAGAAAAGGAAAAAAGGCAACTCAACCCCAAAATAAAACTAAAGAAGAGTTGAATTTGAAATGTTTCCTACACATGAAGGAGCCTCTTTTGTGGGAAGGAAAGGTGCAGTTTTAAGTTGAAGGAAGAGATTTCCTCCCTTTCTTTTCCCTGTTTTTTAAAAAAAATTATTTCTTTTTTTGAACTCTGACTGTAGTAGGCAGTTTGGAGTAAATTTATGGTGAGAAGTGTGGCACCTGTTTGTCTCTGGCAGTTAAATGGCACGTTTGCTTTGTTTGTGCAAGGAGGTCAGTGGGATCCAGAGTCAATAGATGGGTCAGAGGTCTCTGTTCTCCCTCCCCAGCTCACAGAAGCTTTCCCCATGGGATTTTGCCCCTTCCCAGCTCTTCACGGCCTCTCCGCATGACCGACCCGCTGCACTGAAGCTGACTTCAAATACAAATTATTTTAAGGAAGATGTCGTGTGGGCTGCTGGCTGTAGCACAGTGGGCTGTGACTTTCTGAAGATGTGGGCCAGTGTGCCTTTGATTTTGTTCTTTTTTCCCTCGCAGAGGTCAGTCCTGGGGGCAGCCAGACCAGGGCTCTGCTAACACAATCAGGAGTGCTCTTTCTCTCACCCTGGAGTAGACTTACAGTGTATTATGGACTGCACTAGGTTTTTGCTGTGTAAACAGCCTTTTGACCTGCTTCACTTGTGTAGACAAATGCCAGTGAAGCTGAATAGGTTAAATGTTATGGAAACTCAGTGCTCTATTGTTTTCCTGTTGGTTATTTTTATGTTGTTCCAAAACTTCTCACGCCTTTTGCTGAGGATTGACTTCAGGTTGCAATCTGAGTACAAACTGGATGTGGATCTCCTTGTCATAGACACCTGAGTACACTAAAATGACCCATTGCCTTCACTGACACATAATTGCAGAAGCCCAATTATTGCTGCTTACCTTCCTGTTCATTCAGTGCTAATAAAAGCAGTTTATGAAGCCATTTGCAGTGGATTTGTAATCTTGGCTAGAAAGTACCGCTCTTCCTTCTAATTAATTCTATTTTTTTTAAACTTGGTGTCTTCAAATGCCAAAGTGTGTGCTAAAGCTTCTCACTTAGACATTTTCCTAATAGCTGCAGTTTAGAAAAAGAACTCCTCATTGTGCTAATGATATGGAACAAGTTGTATACATTAAAAAAAAAGGCAACATTAAATTGCCTTTCAAGTCTAACATTAGTAACAATGTGATGTTAAGAGTTTCCATTCCAATTTGGAGTCTCTCTCTGTTATTCTGTATAAGTTTTGTGGTTCAGTGCAGCAAACGTTATGCTCAAGTTTATAGCGTGCAGCTGTAGATGCTCTGCGCCAAAACTCTCAAGACATTAAGTGGGATTAAAATAATGCCTGAAGACAAATCAGCAAGTTCAAAATAATGCAAAATAATGGCAGAAGGGAGCAGAAGCACATTATCTATAGTGGTCATGCTCTTGGAAACACTGCCATTCCTGCTGGTGGCGTGGGCTAACCCTGTTGATGGGTTGGGCAAAGTTTCCACAAGCGGGACAAGGATTTGTTTTCTGTTCCACTTTGGGGTGGCTCTGCTCATTTCCGTGCTCTTTCCTCTTCCTCCCCAGTGCCTTGTTTATCCTCTCCCTGATAAAAATGGCAAAATGCTGGTGACTGGTGTGTGCAGCTTGCAGTGACCTCCCTGCCAGGACATCAGAGCTGAGGATTGGGCTCAGTGGCTTCAAACTCTGTAGTGGCTGATCAGTTCAGATTTGGTTGTCTGGTTTAAGAAGAGGTGATTAAGAAGATCAAGAAGTTGCTGTGAGCCTAAATACTGCATTTAATCTGAGCTGGTGCCATGTCTCCTGGAAAGGACAGGGTTTGGG